ATATTGGGAAGTATATTTGATGGTATTCAACGACCATTAAAAGATATTAATGAGCTCACCCAAAACATCTACATTCCCAAGGGTGTTAATATACCTGCTTTAGGTCGTAATGGTACTTGGGATTACAACCCATCCAACATTAAAATTGGAAGCCATATAACTGGAGGAGACCTCTTTGGACTTGTTCATGAAAATACTCTGGTTAAACATAAGTTAATGTTGCCACCTAAAGCAAAGGGAACAGTTGTATTCCAAGCTGCACCGGGAAACTATAAAGTTGATGTAAATATAATTTATAACTTTATTCTTATGGTAAAAAATTCAGTTATTATTTTGTTTCTTAGGATATTATATTAGAAACAGAATTTGATGGAGAAAAATCATCATTTACAATGTTGCAAGTTTGGCCTGTACGTCAGCCACGCCCAGTTACTGAAAAGTTGCCTGCCAATTATCCACTTCTAACAGGACAACGAGTACTTGATTCTCTATTTCCGTATGTTAAATGTTACCTAAACTTCATATTTTTTTTGTATAATATTTTTGTTGTATCTGTTTAGTTGTGTACAAGGTGGAACAACTGCCATTCCTGGAGCTTTTGGTTGTGGAAAAACTGTTATATCTCAAGCCTTATCTAAATATTCAAACTCTGATGTCATTATTTATGTTGGTTGTGGAGAACGTGGTAATGAAATGGCTGAGGTAAAATTATTTATAAATTAATAAAAAAAAAAGATTAATTCAATACATATAATAATTGTATAATTATTTATTAGGTTTTGGGAGATTTCCCAGAATTGTCTATTGAAGTTGATGGTGTAACTGAATCCATCATGAAGAGAACTGCATTAGTTGCTAATACTTCTAACATGCCTGTAGCTGCTCGAGAAGCTTCAATTTATACTGGTAATAACTTAAATAAATAAAATATCATTATTTAAATCCCATCATAATTGTTTTAACACTTATTTAATGTTATATAAAAACAAAAATATTCTTTTAGGTATTACTTTATCCGAGTACTTTAGAGATATGGGATATAATGTATCTATGATGGCTGATTCAACATCACGTTGGGCTGAAGCCTTGCGTGAAATTTCTGGTCGTCTTGCTGAAATGCCTGCTGATAGGTATATTAAGGAAATATATTTATTTATTTATTTATTTATTTATTTAATGTTAATATTATATATTAGTGGTTATCCTGCATATTTGGGTGCTCGTTTGGCTTCATTCTACGAAAGAGCTGGCCGAGTAAAATGTCTAGGTAATCCTGAACGAGAAGGGTCAGTAAGTATTGTTGGAGCTGTCAGTCCTCCAGGTGGTGACTTCTCTGATCCGGTTACATCAGCTACTTTAGGTATTGTGCAAGTGTTTTGGGGGTTGGATAAGAAATTGGCTCAACGTAAACACTTTCCTTCCATTAATTGGCTTATTTCATACAGGTATTAAAAAAAATTATTAAGTATGTTAAGAATATTTTTGAACAATAGTTGATGATTTTTAGCAAATATACAAGAGCTTTGGACGATTTTTATGACAAGAACTTCCCTGAATTTGTGCCTTTAAGAACTAAAGTTAAGGAGATTTTACAAGAAGAAGAAGATTTATCTGAAATAGTGCAGTTAGTTGGTAAAGCATCACTAGCTGAATCTGACAAAATTACATTAGAAGTTGCTAAACTATTAAAAGATGACTTCTTACAACAAAACAGGTAATTTATTTGACTGACAGTTAAAGTATTCACATATAATTTTGAATATTCTTTCAGTTATTCACCATATGATCGTTTTTGTCCATTTTACAAAACCGTTGGAATGTTACGAAATACTATTGCTTTCTATGACATGGCACGTCATGTTGTTGAGTCAACAGCCCAATCTGAAAACAAGATAACTTGGTCTGTAATCAGGGACAGTATGGGAAATATACTTTACCAATTATCATCCATGAAATTTAAGGTAAAATACATTATTTTTTTTATTACATTAATTATTTTACTAAATGTGTTTAATTAATAGGACCCAGTTAAAGACGGCGAAGCTAAAATCCGTGCCGACTTTGATCAATTATATGATGACATCCAGCAAGCTTTTAGAAATTTGGAGGATTAAAAGTATTTTTCACATTAATATATCGTTATTCAAAAACAAAACAAAAGTTTGTAAAAAAAAAAAAATATATATTATAATGAATTGTTGTTGTTTACTCCAGCTTAAGTAAAATTAGCGCACATCATAGAATGAAACTGTGGTGACGGATGTAAGATTCTTTTTGTTTTTAAACTTGTTGTTTATGTGTGTCACCATCATAAATTTTTTATTCATTTTATTCGTCATTCCATTCTTGTAGATTTCTTTCACAATAAGTGAACTATTATTTTATAATTTAATTTTAATTCGACAATAATCAACCATACCATGTGAATTTTATAAATTCATTTCTGTTTCAATTAATCATTATTTAAAGATATGAATACACTCATTATCATGTAAATATAAATAATTTATTATGAAATTGCCTACTATAATAATAATCTAAAAAATAGTTGAATCTGTGCTATTTTAATTATTTTTATCATTTGGGCAATACAAAAAATTTAAATATTTTGAAATATTACATTTTAAAAACGGTTTCCCGCCATATTAAAAAATAAAATATTAGTAATCTAAATATTCAAGAATACTATTTATATTTTCTTAAAACTCAAATAATTATTGACAATGTATTTTTTTTTGGATAGCCAAATATGGTTTTTCGTCATGAATGATTGTTTTGTTGTTTTTAATTATATTATAATTATATTATAGTCTATGAATTATATTAAATTACGTAGGGGTTTATTCTTATGAAAAAGAATTATAGTGTACTCGGTAAATTTAATATTTGTAAAATATTATTAGGTAATCTGTTATCAATGATAATTAACAAATACATTCCAAATTTATTGTAAAATTGTATTTATTTGTTTAATTTGAATATCCTTTACTTTAAGTAATATCATATTATCTTTCCCAATGAATAAAATTTTGTTTATATTTTAGTATTGATAATTTTTCAAGTATCCAATAACATGAAATTATGTCCTTATTGTTTTCTATTACTAAAAGTACTTAATTTATATGAGTTTTGTAACAACTAACAATAACTAAAAAAATCTCTAATTACCAAATACACTCGGTCACCAACAATTTTTCTACAATTAAAGGTGGTGAAGGAGTAAATAAAAATATGATACATGTATGCATATTTATATGTACGAGTCTACTTTTATATAATACAATTTAAAATAAAATCAGTTACCAAATAAGATGGTCATTTTCTACAGTGAATAAGATAAGCTATAATTATGGTAAAAATTATTTAGATTTTTCCAAAAATAAACAATGAAAATATTCTAGTTTTCCAAATAAATATCTGTTATTTAGAGGTATTAAGGGAGATTTTACTGTATTGTTATATATCAATAAGAATTGAGAAAAAAAGAATTCAACAAAATTAATGTCAAAAAATAGTTACATCATACACAGTATGTCCAGAAAGTAAGTTCCGTTGGGCAATAAAAACATGTAAATGTGTAAATTTTATTATAAATTTTATTTGAATATAAAATACATGTATTACTCTATTTTTCAACATAGTTACCACCATTATTTAAGCACTTATCTGTCGAGTACTAGTTTTGTATCCATCATAGAAGATGCCTGTGATTGTGACGTAAGCTATGCCTTTTCACCTCATCATCTTCGTTGAAATTCTGGCCACCATAAATGATTCATGTGTAAAAAGATGAAAATCACTGGTGCCAAATCTGAACTGTAGGTGATGATTAAATTGTTCCCATGCCACAATGCCATCTAACAAATTGTAAAACAACTTGCAGATTTTGCATGGGAACAATTTAATCATCCACCACAGTCAGATTTGGCACAGTGATTTTCATCTTTTTACACTGAAATCATTTATGGGTGAGAACTAACTGAAATGATGAGTGAAAAAGGCTATTACGTAGTTACAATCGATATCTTTCTATGATGAGATACAAAACTAGTACCTAGATATAAGTGCTTAAATAATGTTATATATGTTGAAAATAGAGTAATACGTATTTTATATTAAATAAATTTACATTTACTATTTTATTGTAGCAACTTACTTTCTGACATACCTAGTAATTACTATAATTATAGAATTAACAAGTATATTATGTTTGTGCAGAAATAATTAGTTTGTAACAACATAATTATTACATAAATACATACAAATAACAGTGAATTAGTCATTAAACTATTGTATTTATGTCAATACAATTTTATTTTTATAGTTAATAATTATATTATTACAAATCTAAAATACATAAAAATAATTTAAGGAAAATAACATTTGAGTATATTCTAAAAATTAATAAGTCATTGATGACATCAATATTCATTGATGTAGATTTATTTTACAGTTATTACTTCTAAGTCATATTATTTTAATTCAAATGTAATAATTTATTGTATTTAATGTATGCTAATTAAATGATAAAAATTAATTTGATCAGACTATAAGCTTCTTCACAATTTCTGAAAACATACTTTGTAAGGTAAAGTAAAAAAAACATATAACTAAAAATAAAATGAAAATTCATTTAAATTGCATAAGTATATTTATTTTATTTGAATTGTAACAAAAACAAATATTAACTAAAATTATTTATTAATAATAGAAATCATTTTCAGTAAAACATATAATAATTGTCAATAGAATAGATACCTTTATTTTATTTTAAAATAAGTATACATATAAATTAAACTGATATTTACTTTTATAAAAGTATAATATATAAATGTAATATTAATACATTTAAAATGACTAGAAACCAAATATTTTAATAATTTATAAGTACATAATATAAGAACTGCTACAATAAAAGGAACCAATAAATAGAATAGTATTATGATAATGGAATGCTTAAAAATATAACACACTAGTGTATTAATATTTAAACTATATCATTTTTTTTTTTTTTTTTGTTACACATACTAGCAACCTATTGTTTTTCTTTACGTTCATTCATATCAATAATAGACAAATTTATACTAGCCACATAACAATGAATTAATGATATTAATGTTTTAACGAGCATTATTGGACTTGAAAACCAGCATAATAACTTAAATAAGCCATGACCTACAACTAAAAAGAAAAAAAAATGTAATAATGTAAGTATAATTTATATTATTATATTTGTATTAGTACTTACTCATTGGTCCTGTAATAAAATGGCACAGATATAATGATGCAAAAAATAGTTCATTTCCAGCACACATAAAAAACAGTATGGGTTTTGATGTATAATACCATTTCATTATCGGATTTCCAGACATATCTACAAATTTATGACTAGTTTTACCTTGCAAAATTGATCTATTAAAAAAAATAAATATAATTATATTAACAGAAAATGTTCTTAAAATTGTGTATGTATTACGAGTGCAAATAGATCCAATGACAAGCGATATCTATAATACAGCTAAGTTGAAACAAAAACATATATTTTGGATAAAAATTAGACAATGCAATACATAAACTCATAGTTCCACAGCGATCGGTCAGTTGATCCAGTATAGCTCCAAACTTAGTACCTAAAAAATTATACACTTACATCATAAGGTACTATTTGAATTATAAAATATATATTTAATAGTTGGCAATAGTAGACTAACTATAAACTGATGGTATTTAAGTTATTAAACTTTGTGGTTTACTCACTTTGGTTAAATGCTCGAGCTGCATGACCATCAAAAGCATCCAATAATGCACTTATTACATAACAACTACATGCAACTTTGTAATTGGTTGGCATAAAGTAAATTGAAACAATAGCTAGAATTATTCTGGCATATCCTACAAAATCAAGTAAAAACCAAATTTACCAACTAATTGTTTGTACATAATTTTAATTTCAAATCTTAATGATACAGGTATAAATATGTTGAATATATATATCCGTATTTTATAGTTATTTATTAAAAAAAAAAAAAAAACTATGTATCTGTATTGTGAATTATGAATTAATTAAAAATTTACTGATAAGAAAGTACCTATTTTAAAATAAATTACCTTTTTAAATTAAAAAGGAATATTTCTCTAATAAATAAAATAGTAAAGTAATCCATTTAATAAATTAATAACTAGAATTTAACACAAAGTCTATGGAATTTATAGATAGGTGTAACACAACACAGTACACCTACTGTGTGACAATGTGGCATTAATATTACTAGTTAGTTTAAATTGATTCAATGTAAACAATAATTTATGGTAACTTACCAATTAAATTTGGCACAAACAAAAAAATATTTTCTTGTTTACCCATTTTAAACTGAAAGTAGATATTTAATATAATATTATTAAAAGTATTACAATTATAAATATTAAAAATTTAAGCTTAAATAAATTTAAAACGCTTTGACAGTTAGATATAAGCAGTCACTATATGATATTAAAAAACTCAATTGTATTGAATCGCAATAAATAGGTGTTAAAGCGAACTACAATAGGTAAAGGCAAACAGTATAGCACGCAAAAGATATTATCGTATTGTAAGTGCAACACTACTGCTGTCTGTTGGCTTATGAGTTGTAAGTAGCCAGTTGGTACTTTAATGCTTGACACTTGTACAACTTCAAACTTGGCAGAGTATTGACGAATAGAAATACACATACACAAAATAATAAATAAATTATATTAATTTTGGTATTGATATAAATATAATAATATGTGATAATGTAACAACATAATAAATATTGATATTGATAACACGGAACAGAAATTACAAACATTTATTATTTAATATTTATTGTTCTATGTTCTATCATGGTTGATCTGTGGAACGAGTAACAATTATGTGTTTATATTTTATATATCACAGTTAAGAAGTTATGTTCCTTAAACTCCGTTAACTCAAAACCGCGAATCTTTTAAATTGTATGGATGAATTTATAATTCCTGTGCACGATATTTTATATATTTACATATTTATTCATTGACGACTTAGACCGCTAAAGTTCGTTTTTTATACAACTTCGTATCTGTACTGCACAGTTGGTATTCCTATTTTATCGGCTGATACACAGTTTGCACCAGCTAATTAAATTCTTGAAAAGTATAATTTGTAATATTTTAGAACCTAAAATGGCTTGTTCATTGTTACTAGTACTGAACTTTAAAGCTAACAATATTATAGTTTATAATCTTACAAAATGATGTGAACTAAATAAACTAGTGACGACATATAAACATAAATAACACTTGAATAGATATAAAATATTCTGACTTTTTATACTTCACCCTTATATGTTTAATGTTTATTCTCAAGGACTATAAAATTATTATATTTTAATAGTTGTAGTAATATTAAGTAGATATCTACGACCTACTTAAACAATATAAACAAATCAATAAACAATAATATAATATTTATATTGTACAATTTTGACAAAAAAATACCAATTTTCATATTACCATTTAATAGATAATTTATTAAATTACTTATATTATAAAATATCTTAATAAATAAAATCTGACGTTTGGTCCCCGTTCAAAATAATTTTTTTTCGTAGTTTAATATTAAATAACGATTTATTATTTAATCACATTTAACATGGCTATTAGTGACCTATTCAATGATGATTGGTAGCCAAGTAGTAACAGATACAATACAAATCTGGGACTCAGATATATTAAGTATACTAGCCACTAGGACTACGTATGTCACTTGATTCCCACTTTTTAATTCCTACCGATACACAAATTACAATAATTAGATAGCACCTAGTGGTTTGTAATTTGTATCTGTTATATAGTCAGTAGTAACATTTCTCACATTACACACTATCGTATCTATTGTCTCATAGATAACAGATATGCATGTGTACTGTGTAGCCTTACTAATTAGTAATTACTATGAGTTTAAGTCATATATTTTATTGATACAGACGTACAATAAATTTAAATGATTTAAGACCGGCAGCAAAAAAGTTGATGACATAATATTTTGGCGGTTGTTTGTATGTTTGAAGTTACGGCCAAAAAAAATTAAAAACATTTTTTTTTTAAATAAAATATTAAAATTTAGTATAAATACTTTAGTGTTATGTTGAATGAATAACTGTTAGAAATAAATAATAATACTTTAAATCGTCAAATATCGAATAAAAATAATTAAACTTTAATTATTACTGTTGCTGTTTTTTAAAAGTCAAATAAATTTTGTATAAAATTGTTATTTCATGGAAAACAAATATCAAAGACAATGTATAAAGATATTTATCATTTTATTTTAATGTTTCTAACTTCTTGTTCAACTGTATTTATGATTTCTCTAAAAAAGTGTTATGAAAATTCTCACGAGGATCGTCTTTCTCAATTAATAATTTTTAAACCTTTTTGTAGTGCCAGCAATTTTAAAAATTTGTCTTTTTAAGGTACTGATTGAAATAATTAAGAAAAATGCCATCGAGTCAACCTTTACCTCCAAAAGAAAATTCCTTATTCAAACGAATTTTAGTAAGTATTATATTACTTTTCAATTAGATAAACATTAAATAAGTTTCATGTTAAAATAAGTATTCTTGTTTTTATCTTTTCTAAATTTTTTTTTTTTATGTTATTATTTTAATATCACTTAATTTTAATTATTCCAGTTGTACTTAATAGTAATAATTTATACCTACTTCATTTATTTTATTTTAGAGATGCTACGAACAGAAACAATATAAAAATGGACTTAAATTTGCAAAACAGATTCTGTCACATCCAAAGTTTTCTGAACATGGAGGTAAATAACTTTTCATGTCAATTAAAACTCAATTAAACATTTTGTATATAATTTATTTAGAAACTTTGGCTATGAAAGGACTTACTTTAAATTTTCTTGGTCGAAAAGATGAAGCTTATGAACATGTTCGACGAGGTCTTCGTAATGATCTCACTTCTCATGTTTGCTGGCATGTTTATGGTCTATTACAGAGATCAGATAAAAAGTTAGTTTAAAATTATTATAGATTATGCACTCTTAAATTCTTAGTAGTATGCAATTTATTATTAAATGTTTTTTTAGGTATGATGAAGCTATTAAATGTTATAGAAATGCATTGAAATGGGAAAAAGACAATATACAAATTTTACGAGATTTATCACTGCTTCAAATTCAAATGAGAGATTTGGAAGGATATCGAGTAAATAATATAATAAATATAATTATTGTATAATGAACAATTCTTTTCAAATAATACTTATTATTTCAAGTTCTATTAACAATTGTTGGAAATATTCTTTTAATTTAACTTCTAATAGAAGTAAAACATTTTTTTTTTTTTAACATTTTTACCATCATTTTTAAAAAATTTTACTTTCTGAAATAACATAGATTTTTAATTTCATTTTCTGAGAAAAAATAGTTTTTGTGGTGTTCCCAATCATAAAAGTCGAAATTCAGACCAATAGTTTATGACTTCATAAGAATTTAAAGTTTAACTAAGTAGAATGGGGAAATTAAATTTAGGTCTATTACTCCACTCACCTAATCTTTAAATACTTAAAATTCATTAACTACACATAATGTACTAAAATACTCCTAAAAATATTCTGCTTCAGAATATGAATTTAAAAATATAAATTGTTCAAAAAGAGTAAAATAAACTTAAAAAATATATCAAAAAAATTATTTTTTAAAAAAGTTAATAGATTTTGAAATTAAGAATAACACTTGATAAAAAAATCACATAGTTTACATATATTTTAGACTTGGTTAATTTTTTTTGGAACATTGATTATTATTTTTTTTTTTTATATATTTGAATTAGGCTTATCAATTATTATTTATTTATATAATTTTTATTAATATTATAAATTAAATGTGTAGTATATGTTATAAATTTAGGATTATATTGGATTGAATCAGTCATGACTATTAAATGTTATATATATTACAGACAATGTGGTCTAGTACTACTCCTGCCTAGGCAATGTAAAATTTTAAACTATGAATTTTTTTTTTTTATTAATCAACTAATATTATTTTTTATTTTTACTTTAAAATATAATTTTATTTATATATCATAATACAACGAATGTTTTAATAGAATAACAAAACAAATTAACAAATATTGTTATTTTATTATAAATAGGTAATGATAACATTAAAATTTATAATAAATATAAAAAATAATAGTAGTTGGTTAAAAAAAAAAAAAATTGTGGTTCACTATTTTACATTGTCCGTAACATATACATTTACATATATAACAATTTAAAATATTTTACTTTTTTTTTTAACATAAATACACAAATTACATTATTTTGACTTGACAACCATAGGACTAAAATTTAATTCGATTAAATAATAGTCATTTCAAATAAAGCCATAATTATAATAAAATGTATACATTTATATGTTTTGTCCATTTTTTATGTTCATATTAAGTATTTGTGAGTTGTAGGAGGCACTAAATAATTATTATTAAAAACATAAGTTTTTATCAAAAAATTACAATCACAGCAATAATTATTAAAAAATAACATTAGAAATATTTTGCGATAAAAATTCAACATTTTAGTAAATTACAAAAAAATAATTTATAATTTTATTAAATGGTTTTATTCAATTTTTATTTTTTTAGCCACATAAATATGATATTAAAAAAAAAAATTAATTTATATTTCTCTTTTGAGTACTGGGAGCTTACAACTTGATGTAGTCCTATAATAGGTTACTTTAATTATTCAGTCCAGAGTGTTATATTTGAGTGTTCACTAAATAGATTAGGTTAGGTTAGGTTAAACATGCTATATATTAAAAAAAAAAGTTAATTTTGCTGCCTTAATTTTTCCATTAGTGTAATAGAATCATTGAAAAAGTTTTCATCAAAATCCATGCAACAAATTTTAATTAATTCTTATGATTTGAAAAGATTGATTTTTCATTAATAATTTCATATTACTTCATGATATATTATTTGCGAATTAATCAAATTTAATGCTATCCATATGTTAGTAATTTATAAAAAAAATTCAATTCTGTGCTTCATATTAGATTCTAAGCCGAGCAATGAATATCTTGTTTTTATCGTAATGTTTTTTTTTTTATTTATATGAATACACAATTAGTTATTAATAAAAGTTTTAATTTTTAAAAATGAGGGTGGTTTTAAATATAAAATATGTATAAAGTAATTATGTGTAGGTCAAGTTTAAAAATTCCTGTTATTTATTTTTACAATCAGGAAAACAAAATTTTAAGGAAAACCGTAAATTGTTGAGTTATCCCAATTTTTGAAGAAATTGATTTTGTAGTTATAACTTATTAGTGAATAAGTGTAAATACTTGTAATTTATACCAAATATTTATATAATCGTTTTTTTTATCTATGATGAAATTTTCAAAATATTTATAGGCATAAGAAATCTTTAGTTTCTTTTAGTATCATTCATATAAATATTGATTAATAATTATTTTCTGGGTAGAAATATTTGAAAATGTAATTTTAATTGCTACGGAAGTATTTTTATATACATTGAAAGTTAAAATGTCAAAATTGCAGAAAATACCAGCAATCTATTTTGTAGTTAAATTTTATAGAAACTTTTTTTTATGTCCAAGTCTTGAAAATTTTATACAAGATTTTTTAAACACAGTTTTTACTGAACCCTATAACCTAAAGAACGTACTAAAAAAATTATTTTTTAAGACTTTTTAAATATAAATTTGACCAA